CACCTCTGCGGGCTTGTTTTGAATTTCCTGGGCCCGCCTCTAGGGCCACATGCCCGCCCCTTTCTCCACGGCGCCGGCTGCGCAGTCAAACCCTCTTCTGAGCTGTCAGTTCCAGCCAGAGGCTGAGCGCCGCTGAGGAGCCGAGGGGAGGTGCCGGCCACCCGGGCTCGACAGAAGCGAGGACCTTGGGGTTTCGGTGCTTTTACTCTTACTTAGATTCATGAGCCTTGGATACGTTAGCACGAACACGAATACAGTGCTGTCCCACTGCCGTAGGCTGACTGCAAGTACTTTCTATATCTTGGGTTTTCACAGCTCCACAGTTCGCGTCTCTCCTTTTGAGACGAGAAAACGGACTTGTTGAGCAAAGCTGGAAGGCTTGCTTTGGACCACACATCCAGAGTGATGGTAGTCAGTGTTTCTCAGAAGGTGGCTAAGTGGTGTTAAGTGTTTTGGAGGATGCGAATTCCTGAGCATCACTTCAGGCGCCAGCTCTTTAGGGGTGCAGTCTGGGAACCTGCCATAAGGAGCATTGGTGTATACTAACCTTTGACAACCCTAACTTTACGGGTGGCTGTGGAGCAGACCTTTTTGTCTCTTTGCTTTCCCTTGTGTGATGTCAGTTAAAGGCATGTTTTCCTAGTTTTTTTTTTTATTTTTACGTTAATATGAGACTAAGATGTAATGTGTAAAATGCTCAGTACTGAAAAAGTTTAGGCCCTGAATCCAGTCCTGAGAACTCATCTCCACCTTCCTCCCAAAAACTGTTCACCGTGAAACTCACTCTTGCAGTGTGGTTCATCAGGTGAAGGCACCATGCCTGACCATTCGAGTTGGGTTCACAGAACCCACGTGGTGGAAGGAGAGACCCAGCTACCTAAAAGTTGTCTTCCAAACACACTGAATTTAAAAAATTTAAACTCGGCCTGGCCGTGGTGGCTCAAGACTTTAATCCCAGCACTTGGGAAGCAGAGCGAGTTGCAGGACAGCTTCCAAAGCTATAGAGAAACCCTGCTTGAAAAACAAACAAAAAATTTGAACTCACACCTAGTATAAGTTCTCAAAGGAGATCAGTAAGTATTAAGTTATCCAGTTTATTGGTACTAGACAAATTAATCTGTCTGTGAGAGCATTGCCAGACATGAAGTTTCAACACATGACACTGTTATTTATGTCTATAAATAGAAATGTGTCATGTTTATAATGCCAGCACGTGGGATGCTGAGGCAGGAGAATTACTGTGAGATTAAAGCCAACCTATACTTAAGTATAGTTATGGGAGAAGAGAGTGATAAGTAAAAAATGTGTAGAAAATGTAACTGAGAAAGAGGATCTTTTCTGTATGCTACATTTTGTGAATATATTGTAACATGAATTATATTTTTATTATGTTATTTTTCCAATATCTCTCATGACTTATTTTTTAGATCATACTCGAGAAACAAAGGAGGATAAGAGACCATGAGAGTGACTACAAAATTATAACTTTAATTATAATTTTTGCAGTAAAGAGTATGTATAACCACTAAAAAACACATAAAAGAGTATAACACTGTAATTGTAGTTTACCAAAATTTCCACCATCCAAACTCTGATTTGATTGAAAATATCATTATTGTTTTGTTATATTACAAATAAGTATGCAGCCTTTCTACCTTGAAATGATTGGTTAAGTAATTGCCTTAAGCATATACGACTGAGTTTATTCTGGAGCCATAAGAAATGTCCCTCTTTTCCTTATATGAGGTGATTGGTGTTTGAGTATAAAGATACCACAGGGTTAGATCTATTACAGGGGTGACATACAAAGCACTCGAGTGTGGTGTATGCCATTTGTACAGAGAAGATTAACATAATTGTTTGTTTTGCACATTTATTTATTTATTGGTGGTGTTGGGGGTTGAACCTAGGGCCTTGTGCTTGCTATGCAAGTCCTGTCCACTTAGCCCTAATACTAAACCTGCATGTACACTTTGTCTTTAAAATTAGGCAGTTCCAGGAAAAATATTGACTGTTCTTGTCATTGATTTAAAAATGTAAGATATAGTCAAACTAAAGGGCTTTTGGCTTGGGTAACTCATTGTGGGCTAGCAAGATGGCTTAGCAGGTAAGGATGCTTACTACCAAGCCTGACAAATTTAGGTGAACCCCTGAAGCCTCCGATATGGAAGGAGAGAACTGACTACTGTAATTCGTCCTCTGATCTCCACTTGAGCACAATGGCTTGTCTCCCCTGAGCCCCATACACAGTCTCACACATATACACAGAATAAACAAATGTTATACAAAATTTAAAAAAGTATATGATTGTGTTGGGGAAGAGAGGTTGAGAGGAAAGGGACAAACGAGCAAAAGCACTCCTGTGAGCCCTGCAGACCCCACATTCACTTGGTGCATTTTACATCATTTTCTTAAAAGTTGTCGTTCATTTTTTTAAACAGTTGGAAGTGTAGCTGTGGAAGACCAGCCAGATGTCAGTGCTGTCTTGTCTGCCTACAACCAACAAGGAGACCCTACAATGTATGAAGAATACTATAGTGGACTGAAACACTTCATTGAATGTTCTCTGGACTGCCATCGAGCAGAATTATCCCAACTCTTTTATCCTCTGTTTGTACACATGTACTTGGAGCTAGTTTATAATCAACATGAAAATGAAGCAAAATCATTCTTTGAGAAGTATGTGAATTTTAACATTTTATTTATCTATATATGTATGTATACACACACATCTGTAACCACACAAATGTAAGATTATAAAGCAAAAGGTACACAAGGTAGGAGATGTACCTTGGACAACACGAACCTACCATGGGGGTAGGGGGGTTGATCTCCCCGAGGAAGCCAGACTTGAAGTGAGGTCTGAAGAAGGGCTAGGAATTAGCCAGATGAAGAGAAAAACATATCTGGAAGGTCTTTCGGGACATGGGGGTAGGGGGATTGATCTCCCCGAGGAAGCCAGACTTGAAGTGAGGTCTGAAGAAGGACTAGGAATTAGCCAGATGAAGAGAAAAACATATCTGGAAGGTCTTTCGGGGGAGGGATCATGGTAGTTACAGAGGCTAAAAGAAATTCAGGAGCTGGAGCAGGGAATGGTGGGGTGTATGGTATAACATTAGCTGGGAAATTGGTTGTGACCTGGAACAACAGGCAAGTTATTGCACTGTGTTCAGGATCTTTGTCATAGGAATAATAGGGACTTGTATTGGATTAAATCTGATTGACAATCACTGAAAACTTGATATAAATACAACTTTATCTAAGAGCAATATAGCAAACTGTGTTAGGATTATATTAGACTTAAAATGACTGCCAGCCCAAACAATGAAAGTTTGATTTTCTCGTAAGGTAGGAAGTTTATGGCTAATAGGTGAATCCGATCATCATCCTCAGTTTATCATCCTTGTCATGTAATTTCCATGTGCGACACAAGAAGACCCTCTAGCCATTAGCCATCCTAACAGTGCTCTAGTCAGCAAGGAGGCACACAGTCCTGGAAGGTGCACACACACTTCTTTTTCTTACTTGGCAGTCAATGACCAGGCCTGGTTATAAATGTAGGAAATGCAGTCTTTCCTTAGGTGTCTCTTCCCAGCTAATAGGTGTTTTGTTATGGAGGAAGACAGGAAAAATGAGCATTTGGGGACAGTAAGGCATCTCTGCTACAGACATCATTAGAGGGTAATTTCTTCATCAATTGCCTTTTTTGTTGTTTTTTTCTTAAGACAGGATCTTACTACATAGACCTACCTGGCCTGGAACTTACTGTGTAGATGAGGCTGGCCTCATACTGGCAGAGATCTGCTCGCTTCTCCCCTTTGAGTGCTAGGATTATAGGGCATGGTCCACCCCACCCCAGTCTGAGTGTGCCTCTTTACACGAAGGACCTTTGTGTCAGGAGGCAGACACGGTGAGGGGCAGAGGGCGAGTGCTTGACCGGGGTTATTAAGTGTTTCTTCTTGGGGAGGCAGAGGGGGTAGAGGTCAGGCAGGGTTTCTCTGTGTAGCCCTGGCTATCCTGGCACTCGCTCTGGAGACCAGGCTGGCCTCGAACTCACAGAGATCCACCTGCCTCTGCCTCCCAAGTGCTGGGATTGAAGGTGTGCGCCACTGCCTGACCTTTATTAATTGTTCTTAGTGGTGGTGATACTCCTCCTTCCCTTTGACCATTTGCAAGTATGTCAAGGCATTTTTGTTTGTCGTAATAACTGGTAGGTGAGGCGAGAAGGATAATAATTATTACAGGATGTATAGACAGTTCCACTTAGCAGAGAATTGTCCTGCCTAATATATTAGTAGTATCCTTGTTGCATAGCAAGAGTCTGCTGGTGCAGCTGAGAAGTAGATGAATTCAACACTTGATGGGTTGGATACAAGGTGAAGTGTCACTGTCATTCAGGTTTCTGGTCTGTCATCTGGGTAAGGATGACTTTACTGACAGAAACCCCTAGAAGAGGACAGGTTTTTCAAGTAGAACTAATCTTTAGTTCCAATTCAGATGTTCTTTTGACTAGTTTAAGAATCCGTTAAGAACCAATAACTTTGCCCAGCATAGTGGCACATGCCTTTAATCCTGGCACTTAAGGAGACAAGTGGATCTCTTAGTTTGAGACAAGTCTGGTCTACTGAGTGAGTTCTAGGACAGCCAGAGCTACACAGAGAGACCTTGTCTCAAACAAACAAACAAACAAACAAACACCCCCCCCCCCAAAAAAAAACAAAAACCCAAAAGAACCATTACCTCCAAGATTGGCCAGCCAATCTTGGTCACATTGGTCACATTGTCTCTATAATGTGACCCCTGTTTCTCCCCATATAAAAGCTGAGAGGAGAGGAGGAACTAAAGCCATACTTTGGTTTGAGGAGTGCCAACACTTAACAACCAAGTATAACATATAGAAAAGGAAAGGGTAGAGAAATAGGAAGAAATCCAGGAAGGCGTTGAGTTTGGATGCCAAGGGGGCAGGCAGTGTGAATTGACTGAGGAGGAGCTTTTCAGTGCAAGCAATAGCGCTTGAAGCCAGGACTTGTCCGGTAACAAAGATGATGGTGATGAGGGAACTGCAGAACTCTTAAGCTACAGTATTCATTCATTAAACTCAGATTCCTAATTAAAGCTACAGAAAGCCAAGTACTGTAGCTTAGCGCCCCCCACCCCCAACAAAACTTCTCTTGAATTTCTTTTGCAGTCCTGTTTTCAGTCTCCTGAGATAGCCATCTTCCTATGTAGGAGGCTGGGCTGTCAAGGGTCTGTTTCCATTACAGTCTACTAGGACCCTATACCCAAATGAGGGTACAATAACCCAAGACCCAAAACAAAAGTATATTTAAACTTATAAGTTATAATCAAGGCTGGAGGCTTTATTTAATTGCCTTGGGAATAGTGAAATTATGAAAGTGCTCATTGTTCAATACCAATATTTGTTCTTTAGTATCAATGTTAAAATATTGATGTTTAATGTCTTAATATAGGAAGTAATTGAAATGTTTAGCTTTATGAGAATCCATGTACTGATTATTTCTGAGGCTGTGATAAGTACACTGAAGGCATATTATTTTCTACTTCTGTGTTTGAAATGTTCTATAATAAAAAGTTTTAAAGAGTGGGGTTTTGAGAAAGCGCAAAATTCAGTAAAGTAAGGTTTCTGCCAGTTTTATGTATTACAAAAGGTGATTTTCAAAAGAAATACATACTAGTGGTGTGGGTCTTACATTCCACTCAAATGTTTCATTCACTCTGCTTTATTTCAAAACTTTCTCTGGAAATGTTTATGATACATTTCATTAGAGAAATTGGTCGTTTTAAGGGTGAATTTAGAAACTGAATTATAGTCATTTTAAAATGTATTATTAGTGATCCTACAGCCTAGGTCAGGGTTATTTATATACTTAAATTATTATATTATAAATATATACTAATATTACTATATATTAATTACAGATTATTCTGTGATGGTTTAAAAATGTATGAGGAGAAACATTGTCTTAATGACACACTGAAAAATAACTTTTTAAAATCACTAAAACAGGTTCCATGGAGATCAGGAATGTTATTACCAGGATGACCTACGAGTATTATCTAGTCTTACCAAAAAGGAGCACATGAAAGGGAATGAAACCATGCTGGATTTTCGAACAAGTAAATTTGTTCTTCGTATTTCCCGTGACTCGTACCAACTCTTGAAGCGGCATCTTCAGGAGAAACAGAACAATCAGATATGGAACATAGTTCAGGAGCACCTGTACATTGACATCTTTGATGGGATGCCTCGTAGTAAGCAACAGATAGACGCGATGGTGGGAAGTCTGGCAGGAGAGGCTAAACGAGAAGCAAACAAATCAAAGGTATGGGAGTAACCCTAAGAACTATATAATGCAGACTGAAAATTGTAGGATTCCCATTACATAATTTATACACTCTTCTTATAGCTACCTTGCACTGCTTTTAAAATGTGTTCTGAAGGTTACTAGTGTATGTAAGGGTTTGGGAATGGTTGCATGTAACAGAACCCTAACTACAGCAGTTGAGACAAGCAAGGGTTTTTTGGGGTGGGGGGTTTTCAAAATAGTTCCAAAGTGCTATCTGTGTCCCTTGGCTTCTGGCATCTTTAGAATGTGCCATGCGTGTGTATGTGTGTGTGCCTGCCTGTACACACACACGCACACGCACACACGAACGCACGCACGCACGCACGCACGCCCGCGGGGCTGTATTTATTGTAGCTGAATCCAGGGAAGACTAGGGTGCACAAGGAAAGGTCTGCCAAGACTCTCTTTAAAACCAGAACAACAGGTGGGTTTGTTTGGTTTGTTTGTCTTTTGTTTGTTTGGTTTGGTTTTCCCAGACAAGGTTTCTCTGTGTAGCTGTAGCCCTCCCTGTCCTGGTTCTCTCTTTGTATACCAGGCTGGCCTTGAACTCACAGAGATCCACCTGCCTCTGCTCTGTCCTGGTTCTCTCTTTGTATACCAGGCCTTGAACTCACAGAGATCCACCTGCCTCTGCCTCCTGTGTGCTGGGATTAAAGGCATGTGCCACTACACCCAGCTTGTCTTTGTATTTCTAATTAAAACTATATGCGCTGTATGTATGTATGTATGTATGTATATATGTATCTGTTGGTTAGAATTATGTTACATGGTCATTTGTAGTTGCACTAGAGCCTGAAAAGAAATGATTTAACCAAACACATTGAAGAAAAGTTAATTTTAAAAATGTTGATTCTTTGGATTTGTAGGTATTTTTTGGCTTATTAAAAGAACCAGAAATTGAGGTGCCTTTGGATGATGAGGATGAAGAAGGAGAAAATGAAGAAGGAAAACCTAAAAAGAAGAAGCCTAAAAAGGATAGCATTGGATCTAAAAGCAAAAAACAAGATCCCAATGCCCCACCGCAAAACAGGTGAGGAAGAAACTTATATGGAGGGGAAAGCTATGTTGCAGAGGGCTGAAGTTTATTAATGTTCAAAGAGTGACTCTTAGTCTGTTTTCTCTTACAGAATTCCTCTTCCTGAGTTGAAAGATTCAGACAAACTGGACAAAATAATGAATATGAAAGAGACCACCAAACGAGTTCGCCTTGGGCCAGACTGTTTACCTTCCATTTGTTTTTATACATTCCTTAATGCTTACCAGGTTAGTAAAATAATTGGATAGGTTTTTCTAGAAGATTCAGATAAAATGGTGATTTACCATTGAGAGAAAGTCACTAAAATGGAATTTTATTATTTAATTTAAAAACAAAGGAAAGCCAGTGTGGTAGTGTATGCCTTTGATCCCAGCATTTGAGACTGAGTCAGGTGGGTCTCTGAGTTGGAGGGCAGCTTGGTTTGCATAAAAAAAAAAAAAAAAAGGAGAAATAATATTGGCCAGAATTGCTAGACGTCTTCTGAATTTAAAAGCCTTTAGCAGTTTGCAAGAGTCAGAATCTTGCTTATACTTGACCCTTGATGATTGACTCGAGTTCTAACCTTTGGGGAAGCTCATCTGGTTCATCCCTTGAACTTGGGTTAAGTATTAATATAAAGTTGGCGTTTTTAATTAATTCTAAATGTCTTTGTTGATGTCTTATAATGGACTACTGAGGATGTATCTAGTAAAGTACAAAAGGTATTAGCATTTACTTCCTATTATGTACTCCAAATTCAGAGTGCAAAAAACGAGTGATAACATGCTCTTCATGTTTGTGCCTTTAGACAGAGGTTTTGTTGTTGTTTTTTTTTTTCTTTTTTTCTTTTTTTCTTTTTTGGTTTTCAAGGAAGGGATTCTCTGTAGCTTTGGAGGCTATCTTGGAACTTTCTCTATAGACCAGGCTAGCCTCAAGCTTACAGAGATCCACCTGCCTCTGCCTCCCAAGTGGGATTAAAGGTGTGAGCCACCACTGCCCAGCTCAGATAGTGAGTTTTTGTTTTTGTTTTTTTTTTTTTAATTTATTTATTTTATGTGCATTGATTGGTGTTTTGCCATAGGTGTCAGGTCCTCTGGAACTGGAGTTACAGACAGTTGTGGGTGCCATGTGGGTGCTGGGAATTGAACTCAGGATCTCTGGAAGAGCAGTCAGTGCTCTTAACCTCTGAGCCATCTTTCCATCCCTCGGATAGTGAGTTTTATTGGAGAATGTTATAGTTGGAATTTTCTTTGGGCCACAAACCAGCTCTCAAATAAAGACACAGAGACTTACTACTAATTATTAATGCTTGACCTTAGCTTAGGTGTGTCCCACTAGCTCTTTTTATTTAATTTAACCTGTTTCTATTTATCTATGTTTTGCCTTGGGGCTTTTTACCCTTTCATTCTGTATCTACTTCCTGATTTCTCCCTGTCTGTCTGTCTGTCTGACCCCTGCCCCCTCCCCAGCCTAAATTCCTCCTCCTACTTACTCTCCCTGCTGAGAAGTCTCACCTATACCTCCTCTCTCTCTATTGGCTGTTCAGCTTTTTATTAGACCAATCAGGTGCCTTAGGCAGGCAAGATAAAACAGCAACACATCTTTACATAGTTAAATAATATTCTGCAACATAAACAAAGGCAACACATCTTTACATAGTTAAAGCAATGTTCCACCACAGAATGTGACATACTTACTTTAGTTCTGTGAGCTTTGAGAATTTCATCCATGAGCACCGCTTGTGTCTCTCAGCTGCTCCCATGTCCCCACAGAGCCATCTCTTCTCTTATGTATGTGTATAGTTGTATATGTAGGTGTGCATTTAACTTTGCTTTTATATGCATATGTTCAGATACCATTTTTTTTTTTTTTTTTTTTTTTTACTCTCAGGGCCTCACTGCAGTGGATGTCACAGATGATTCCAGTCTGATCGCTGGAGGTTTTGCAGATTCTACTGTCAGAGTGTGGTCTGTGACACCCAAAAAGCTTCGTAGTGTCAAACAAGCATCAGGTAAATGAGATGTCTTATCGGTGTAAATTTGAAATTAGTCTATACCAGTTTGATTCCATGAAATGTAGACAGGAAGTTGTGATCTTTACAGAATTGATTTCACTTGAATTCAAGGGTAACAGTCCCAGCTGTGCCTGGTGGTAGAGGCCTGTGATTACAGACTACTTAGGAGCACGAAAAAGGAGGATTGAGAATTCCAGAATGGGGCAGGTGAGATGGCTCATCAGGACAGGGCTTGCTGCTGAGCCTGATGATCTACCTGACTTTGATTCCTGGAACCCACATGAGGGACAGAACTGCCTCCCAAAAGTTGTCCTCTGACCTCCCGACATGTGCTAGGCATGCTTGCACCCACATAATCAAAGACATTAAATACTTTAAAATGAAAGCAACTGAGCTCAAGGACTGCCTGGACAGCAGAGAGAATTCAAGGCCACCCTGCAAAACTTTAACTGTCTTAATTAAACACCAGACCAAGATAACATTTCCAATAATGAAAGAGCCATTGGGGGTGGCAATGATTAGCTGGTTGACCCTCAGTTCTCTCATGTGCAAAATAAAGGGATTAGGTTAGACAACTCTTTTGGGGGGTAGTGAAATTTCAACACATGGTTTCTCTGTGTAGCCCTGGCTGTTCTGGAACTCACTCTGTAGACCAGGCTGGCCTCAAACTCAGACCAACCTGCCTCTGCTTCCCAGAGTGCTGAGATTAAAGGTGTAGGCCACCACGGCCTGGCTTTAAGATTTGTCTTTATTTTTTTATGTGTATAAATGTTTTGTCTGTATGTAGGTCTGTGTACCACATGTGTGCCTGGTGCCTGAGGAGTTGATGAACCTCTATGTGAGTTCTGGGAATCAAACCTGAGTCCTTCACAAGAACAATAAATGCTCTTACTCACTGAGTCAACTCTCTAGCCCTTGTCAGACAACTCTTTAAAGTGAAAACTATAGTATCTGATGATTATTTCTTTGTAAATTTTAAGAAAATCTTAGTGAGGGCTGGGAGGGCCCTGCAAGTTGTCCTTATACCCAAGGTCTGAGGCAGAAGGATCACTCTAAGTTCAAAGCAGACTGAGCTACATAGTCTCAAACATCAAAACGAGGGGCTGGATAGACGATGTGTCAGGGGCTGAAAGCACTGACTTGTTGCAGAGGACCTGGTTAGATTCCCACTCCCACAGTGGCTCACAAGCAGCTGTCACGCTAGCTCTGCATGCGTGTGGTGCATTCGTCTTTGTGCAGGCACACTCTGATACACATAAAATCAGTTCATCAGAACGAAAACAAAAAGGCAGAGAAAAACAAAGACCCAAACCTCTAATAAGGTCAGGGTTTTTAAAAGCTTTTTGTTGTTTTACTTAAACAATACATTTAAATTGTTTTAGGGTTTTTATGAAGCGTAGCATAGTAGGCAAACCAAAGAATCAGTCATGGTTCTCATGCTGAGTAACCATGTGGTCTAACAGATTATTAACTATTTGAAGGCTCATTTTATTCTGTATAAGAGGATGTGTCACTGACTTTAAGAGGCCTTAGCATAGTGGTTATTGGAAGAAATGTTGAAATGTTAGTTCTGAGCTGTGTTTTAATGAACAAACCTAAAATAATATTTCTGGACCTTTTTAGATCTTAGTCTTATAGACAAAGAATCAGATGATGTCTTGGAAAGAATCATGGACGAGAAAACTGCGAGTGAGTTGAAGATTTTGTATGGTCACAGTGGGCCTGTCTATGGAGCCAGCTTCAGTCCCGACAGGTAAAATACAAACAAAACTAAATACTGATAAACAGTAGTGAGACTTAAAAGCTAACTGCTGGAAATAAAATGCAAATGCCTAGACACTTTTCAGAAAAATAGGATTGCCTGTAGTTCAGTATCTTTTAGAATCTTATCATTTGCTAATTTATCTTGGGGTACTGGTAGTTTTTATTTTTTTTATTTTAATTAGAAAGAAAATTATTTTACATGTCAATCCCAGGTCCCTTTCCCTTCCCTGCCCCCCCCCCAACTAACACCCTACCTATCCTATACCCCTTCTGCTCCCAAGGGACGGTGAGGCCTTCAATGGGGGGGGGGTCTTCAATGTCTTATTCTTTGGGATAGGGCCTAGGCCAACCCTGGTGAGGCCTTCCATGGGGGGGGTCTTCAATGTCTTATTCTTTGGGATAGGGCCTAGGCCAACCCCCTGGGGTACTGGTATATAAAATAACAATTAAGTATATACTAAATTTACAGAACCAAGATGCACATTCAGGGCTCACTGGTTTCAAATTTTAGCTTTATCTTTGAATAACCCTCTAATAGAGGTTGGATTCCTTGAGTTCTTGTGGCACTTTGTAAAATTTAACACAAATTCCTCATGCTAATGGCATTAATAGTTTCAGCTGAAGCATTAGCTTTCCATAATGGAAAAAAATGAAGAAAGCTGGGTGTGGTGGTAAGTGCCTGTGATCCCAGCTACGGAGGCTAAGGCAAGAGGATGGTGGTTCAAGGTCAGCTGGCCAACATAGCCAGACCATGTTTTGAAATAACAGCACCATTAGTGTTTAGGTATTTCTTGATTTTCATTTCTAACTTTCTGCAAAAATGACTGGGAGAGGGTATTTTCCCCCATATTATCGTATGTATTCTACTTGGATAGATAGTGGTTTTCATCCCCCAAAGTTCTCATTGTATTTGTGAATCTTGAGAATTAAAAAAAATATTTAATAGAATTTAGCCAGATGGTACATTTGGCTTGGAGATGTCTGATTTCAGGGAAAACAGTTGGCTTTTGTATTTATTCCTGAAAAAGGTGGAACATTAACATTCTGCATGTGAGTAGAGTCTGGTGGAGCTCTAGGCATGTACTCTGCTGAGCTACACCCCACTCCTTTTTTTTTTTTTTTTTTTTTTTTAATATACCCCATGCAGATAGGAAATAATATCCAAAATTGATACACCTTGCTTAGACTGTCTGGGTAACCATAATTTTTATTATTCTCAATATTTTTTTGGTGTTCTGAAACAGGGTCTCATGCTATTCACCAGACTGGCCTTGAATATGCAGCAAGCCAACCTCCTTAATCTTCCAAATTCTGAGATTACACATATGAGCCATCACAGTATTTACTATTTTTTTCTTTTCTAAAGTACTGTGTGAGCCCCCCCCATAATCGCTAACATTTTTTAATAATTAGCTTTATACAGTAGGTGTTCAGGATATGACACCTGTATAGTATTTCATTTTAACATTAATACTTTTAGCTCTTGGTATGTACCGTGAGTTCTAAGTATAAACAAAGAGGTGGGGATGAGATGGCTCAGTGGTAAAGTGCTTGTCATGCAAGGGTGAAGACAGATTTTGGATCTCCAGCACCCACATAAATGCTGGACTGGCATGGCAACCCTCCTGTAATCCCAGTATTCTGGAGCTGGAGATGGGATCTGTGGAGAAATCTGACAAGCTCTGGGTTCATCTGGGAGATTGCTCAAGGAAGACACCATGCATACCTCATACCACACACACAGGTGAGGGGGTTCAGTGGTAGAATTCTGGCCTGTCATGTGCAAGGCCCTAGGTTCAGTCCTCAGCACTGTGTGTGCATTTCCATGTGCATGTGTATACACACACTGAGATATGCCTAGGTGTGTGTCATTTGCTAAAGTGTGACAGTGAGAAGAAACTTGGACAAGTAACCAAGTTATTCTGGAAACCAAACGTATCCCCTCCTCTCCTCAGGAACTATCTGCTCTCCTCTTCAGAGGATGGAACTGTCAGACTCTGGAGCCTTCAGACGTTTACTTGCTTGGTGGGATATAAAGGACACAACTACCCAGTATGGGACACCCAGTTTTCTCCATACGGATATTATTTTGTGTCAGGAGGCCATGACCGAGTAGCTCGGTAAGAACACTGTGATCTAATGGGGTTTACTCACTGAACATAACTGTTTCTTTTTTCTTTTTTTTTTGTTTTTTGGTTTTTCGAGACAGGGTTTCTCTGTGGCTTTGGAGGCTGTCCTGGAACTAGCTCTTGTCGACCAGGCTGGTCTCGAACTCACAGAGATCTACCTGCCTGTGCCTCCCGAGAGCTGGGATTAAAGGCCTGCACCACCAACACCCGGCTCATAACTGTTTCTTGTTGGGAATACGAAGTCCAGAAAACCTCATTTTCATACTGTTCAGGATTAAGCTGTAGTTTGAAATGAACACAAGGGAGAACATCACTCTGTCTCTTACTATGTGTACACCAAAGGTCCTGTTTTAATGTAGTTTATAACATGTTCCCCACATGTCAGATGTGCTATTTTCCATTATGTTGTTATCATAAAGTTCCTATCGATGAAATTCTTGCTAGAAACTATGTGGTTGCCCAGACTACAGGAAAGTGGTTTTCTGTGCATTAGGAGTGGGAAGGAAGGTGAGTATACAGAGAATGGTAGAATTTACATGCCGGCTGAAGAGATGGCTCAGAGGTGAGAGCACTGACTGCTCTTCCCTTCCCAGCACCAGAATGGCAGCTCACAGCTGTCTATAACTTCAGTTTCAGAGGGGTCTGACGCCCTCATGCATGCAGGCAAAACACCAATGCACATGAAATAAAAATACATTATTTTAAGCTGGGTGGTAGTGGTATATACCTTTAATCCCAGCACTAGGGAGGCAGAGGCAGGAGTGTATCTCTGTGAGTTTGAGGCCAGCTTGGATTATAATGAGTTCTAGGACAGACAGAGCTACACAGAGAAACCCTGTCTCAAAAAGCTAAAAAGACTTTCCATGCCCATAATCCTAGCACCCCAGAATAGGCATAGTGGCACATGCCTATAGTCCTAGCACTTGGAAGGCTAAGGTAGGGTGATCTTGAGTTCAAGACCACTGAGTTCCAGGACAGCCAAGGCTATTATATAGTGAGACCCTGTCTTAAAAAAAAAAACAAAACACGCAGGGCAGTGGTGGCGCATTCCTTTAATCCCAGGCCAACTAGGTGGATATCTGTGAGTTTCAGGCCAGCCTGGTCTACAAGAGCTAGTTCCAAACAGCCTCCAAAGCCACAGAGAAACCCTGTCTCAAAAAAGAAAGAAAGAAAGAAAGAAAGAAAGAAAGAAACTACCAGCACTCTGGAATGTGAAGACTGGGCCATGAACTCAAGGACAGCTTGGGCTATGTGAAAAAAAAGCCCAGAAAATGTTAGGCCCGGGCTTACTGTTCTCTTTCCTTCAGTTAGGAGGAACCCATTTGGAATTGACTTTAATCTGTATGTACCAATATTTTGGGTTAAAAGTTATTTCAATTAATTACTATTATTTCTTACTTTCCATTAACTTTAAAAAAGGCTTTGGGCTACAGATCACTATCAGCCTTTAAGGATATTTGCTGGACATCTTGCTGATGTGAATTGCACTAGATTTCACCCAAATTCCAACTATGTTGCTACGGGCTCTGCAGACAGAACTGTACGGCTCTGGGATGTCCTCAATGGTAATTGCGTAAGGATCTTCACTGGACACAAGGTATCTTACACCTGCATTATTCCAGCATACACATATGCTTTCAAAGTCAAAATAGTCATCAGTAGCATGCACACTTTAAAGATAACTTTCATGCTACTAAACTACAATTCTGTCTTGGCCTTTTCAGGTATTCTTAACCTGATTTTGCTCTTTTCTAGGGACCAATTCATTCCTTGACATTTTCTCCCAATGGGAGATTCCTGGCTACAGGAGCAACAGATGGCAGAGTACTTCTTTGGGATATTGGACATGGCTTGATGGTTGGAGAATTAAAAGGCCATACTGATACAGTGTGTTCTCTTAGATTTAGTAGAGATGGTGAAATTTTGGCATCAGGTAAATTATTTTAATGGCTTTGGGGTAAAGGTTTAGTTTCATTAAAAAAAAAAAAAAAAAAAGGGCCAACCACCACCAAAGTATACAGGGAAAATGCCAGACTCTAGATGTGACAGACACTGTTTTCTTTGGCTTTCTTTTAGGTTCAATGGATAATACAGTCCGGTTATGGGATGCCATCAAAGCATTTGAAGATTTAGAGACTGATGACTTTACTACAGCCACGGGGCATATAAATCTACCTGAGAATTCCCAGGAGTTATTATTGGGTACATATATGACCAAATCAACACCAGTTGTACATCTACATTTTACTCGAAGAAACTTGGTTCTAGCTGCAGGAGCTTACAGTCCGCAATAAACCAGCGGTATTAGAGACCTTTTGGAAGCTACTGTTTGGAAAAGGGAGACTTAAAGCAAATACCTCAGTGATTAGTATTTAAGCTACAAAGAATGTTTTTGTCTACATGGATCTGGGAGTATGCTGCTTGGAAAATCTGAACAGGACAGTTCCACGTTTCTATAGCAACCACATTTAACTAATTTCCGTTAGTTGAATAAGAGGTATTATGTTCATGGAGGGGACATTTATGGTGCTTTGGATTGTGTGGAAACTATGCATTTTTCTGTTCAAATGTTATTTTAATTTATTATGTTTAGAAAGGAAAACAATTTGATTTAAGCAATTTATTCTGCTTCAAGATTCAAGAAATATAGTACCATCTTGAGTAGCTAAAGAGTTCTATGAGCATGTGTGTGTCTGCTGTAAAACGAAGTTACTGTATGGCACGCAAACACTGTGTTAAACCACCCACTAACATGCTTTCCTTCACCCATGACTAGTGGAATGTATGGGACTACAGTCCCTAAGATCTATAAGTACCAACCATCCACCGACATCTCAATTCCTACCTTGTAAGTTCTGAGTGCGACCACTCTACAAGCCAGGTGACAAGACTTAGACACCACACTCTATGTCAGCTGACATGGCTACATACGCCCTAGTACACTTGAAGTCAGACAGACATTTCAGTTGCTTACCTCCAGTGCTGAGCCTTGCTTTGAAAAACTAAGAGATTTAGACCAAGTCACTGCCAGTTTTTGCCTTTGTTGGATTTTGTACAGTTTTATATTTTTGATATCTTGTAAATAAAGACAACCAGCTTTTCCAGGTTCATAATTTATTGTACAAATTGAGTATTACATGATGATGAGTTGACATCAGCTTCTTCAGGTATGGGACTTAATAGATGAGGTTAGACATTTCAAAATCCTATAAAAAAGCAAAAACTTTGATACAAATGTGTTCCACTCTACTTTACTCTATTTTTATGACAATCAGTAATTATCACAAATTCCCAAAATAAAATGTAAATTCACCAGATTCTCAAGAGTCAGTAAGTAGGACAGATAGATGAATAGGTAAACTACATGTCTGCTACTTGGTTTTCAAGATAGTTTTTATGGGGACACCACCAGCCTTCATGCAGAAAACTGAGCAAAGTACCCAAAAAGGAATAGGAATGGATTGGACTACACAGTGCCCTAAATTTAGTGGATTTAAGATGGCCAAAGCTTTTAAAAGCAGAACAAAAATAAGAGAGCATTAGATAGTGGTTTACTGACTTCTGGATAGGTAAAAGGGATCAAAGGGGACTGTAGGAAAACCTTAAAGGGGTTTATTCAGGGGGAAATGCCAGTATTCTATGAAAATACAAAGCTACCAAAAACCCAGCAAATATTTGCAACTTTATGTGCTAAAGGTTGGTTAGGGTTGGGGCTGCCACTCAGGTGGAGTGATGGCCTAGCATCTGCCAAAGCCCTGAGTATGATCCCCAGTACCACAAGTTTCACTTGTATTTCCTTTTTTTAAAGAGTTTTTGTTTTTAGTTATGTGTGTTATGTATGCGAGTCCAGAGAAGGGTTTAAGATGGCCTGGAGTTAGACAGTGTAAGTCACCTGGTATGGGTGCTGGGATTTGAACTCAATTCCTCTGTTCTTAACAGTACTTGATCTTAACTGAGCCACTCTCCAGATTCTAGATAATCCCCATCCCTGCCTGTAATCCCAAAACTCAGCAAGTTGAGTAATTGCCACAACTGTGAGACCATTTGGGTTATAAGCAAGGCTGTCTCAAAACCTAAACAAACAAAACCCAGCCAAAACTAAATTATATAAGACTCTTATAACTGAGCTGGGGAGACCATAAAGACCTGAGTTTGATCCCAAGAATTTATGGGGGGTAAAAAAAGCCAGATGCAGGCTTCTACCTCTGGCACTCTGACGTAGAGACTGGGAGTTGGGAGTGGGAAGGTAATCAGGGTTAAATGTGTATGCCAGCAGAAATGAGACCTGCCTCAACTAGGCAGAGCGAAGCAACTCCCCAGATAGGACTCCCCAGAAGTCCACATACTTCCACATCAGTGTCACGCATGTGAGTGTGCAAGGACAGAAGCTCCCAAAAATAAAACATAGAAGTCATCTAACTGTGTTAAGAGACAAACAGGAAAAAAAGTACTTCAACAAAACCTAAAATGACACGTTTTTTTAAATGCCAATTTAGCCAAAATCGTAGTCTGCACTGGCTGAGGTAAAAGACATACCCTCTTACAAAGCTAGGGGTCTCTTAATTTCAAGCTCAAACCATTTTGTTGTAATACCTTTCTTCGGTGGATTGTCTTGTTTTTGTTTTTTTGAGTTAGAACAGACTCAAAGTCAGTGGTCCTCCTGCTTTACCCTTCCCAGAATTGCAGAGTATGAGACACTACACCCGGCTCCTTTCCTCTCAGTTGTTTCGAGACCATGTCTTGCTATGTAGCACAAGCTGTTCTTCAACTTGCAATCCTCCTGTCCCTGCCCCCAACTGTTTAGTTTACAGGTGTACATATACCCAGCGTTTGCTTTCAGATATGCAATAAAGTTCAGAGTGCTAATAGTTTATTTTTTTATAACACAAGAAAAAAACCTTAACACCAACTGTCTAAGTCACAGACTTTTAAATGGCAATCCCTTACCATTTACGATGCTTTCACAGCTGGGGTTTTTTTAGGCCTTAACTTGAAGTATAAAACCAACAAAGCAATGCCTCCGTATGTGGCCAGTACACACTGAGAAAAAAAAAAAGAAAGTTGTCATAATCTCTTTTATTCCAAGATACAACTACTTAAAGATGTAATTAATACTTACATTCATTCTACCTGTGAGAGTGTAAGAGTTGAAATACTTTTTAATACCAGTGAAATGGAATTGGCTATCACTTTCTGCACCAGCCATGACTTCAATCTAAAAAAAAAAGTAACAAAATATTTATTTGGATGCAGTTCATCAGAAAATAAAATTCTTTCAGTTTCAAAACCTATGTCATCTCCGTGGTTGAGCTGAGACTGCAGCAGTGGAGCTGGTGGGAAAAACCCAGCTAATACAGGACTGCTAATAGAGGCCCTTCACCCACTCTTCTTGTAGACACTCCAGAGAGTTAGGCACTCAGCATAGGAAGAGAAAAGAGCTGTCATTAGTTCTGTCTTCTGACGAAGAACAGCTTAATGCTCCAAATTCTCTATCCATCCTGTATCCATCACTTTTAAGATCAGCTGAAAGTTGAGCTTGTAATGCTTTTCAAGCTTTCTCAGTAGTCAACACCAACTCAACAGACTAACATTCTCACAGTTTTCTTACTATAAACCACTCAGGACTTCCATGGGAGACAGATCATTTACTGATATCAGTCAACGGTGGTTTCCAAACAGATAAAGGAATTGAATGTAAACAATGGAGCCAAAAACTCCTTAAGAAAACTGGCAAATATTTTACTTGTCTTTGGAAAGAGAACTATAAAGTAAGTATAAAATGGAGAGTCAAAGAAAAAAAAAGTAAAAACCAAACCAACATCTAACTACCAAACTAGCATAGATAACTTACAATGTTACAACTGGGTTTTAACACTGTGTGGAGTGTAAAGCTGCTACAACATACATATTTAGTCTCTCTCAAATTATATATACCCTTCTTTCTAGCTGGATCATTTCTTCTCCAATAATTTACCTTACACATACACAGAAATGTTTAATGCTTAATGATTATATGGGGGAAAACCCCTAAAGAACATACAGCTTTTTTTTTTTTTTTTTTTTTTTTGGGAGACAGGGTTCTTCTGTGTAGTCTTGGCTGTTTTGGACCAGGCTGGCCTCAAACTCAGAGTCTCTGACTCTCAAGTGCTGGGATTAAAGGGTTGTGCTACCACCTAGCTTTATTTCTTTTAATGTGAGAAAATGTACTAAAAAAAAAAAAGTGACAACATACTGGTGAAATGTGGGGAAAAGAATCCTTCCACACTGCTGGTAGGAACATGAATTGGTGCAGCCACTGCAAGTAGGCGTGGAAGATTCTCAAAAAATTAAAAACAGAACTACCACATACCCAGTTATTCCACCCGGATATACTTGAAAGACTAATTCAACACACCTCAAAGATCCTTGCATATCTGTGTTTACTGCTAGACTATTCACCATAGCTAAAAACTGAGCCAGCCCGGATGGCTGTCAACAGATGAGTAAATAATGAGTATGTGGTACACATATACAGTTCAGTTTTATTCAGCCATGTAGGGAAAATGAAATTATGATGCAAGTAAGAAGATGGATACAACAGGAAACCATTACATTAAATACGCCAGACTCAAAAGAAATACCCAATGTCTTCTCTTGTACATAGACCATATATATATATATATATAATATTATATATATTGCTGACTTAAGCAGCAGACACAAATTCAGAGAGCCATAGCAGAGTTCAAAATCATTCAAAGTTTTGTATGTATGACTGCCTACCTACAACTGAGCCATAGACCCCAGTGACAACATGGACAAGCTGGTTAACATGCAGGCAAGACTGGAAGAAGCTGGCTTTAGAGGAAATGGAACTTGGAGAGAACAGTAAGGGTATGGTCGCTAGGGAAAATGGCATCCCTTTGTTTAGCAGTCAAAGAAGGGTTCATGCGCAAAGATTACTTCCAGACCTTAATTTTGAACATTTTCAGAATGGTTACTGGAACAGTGAAAGAAATCTAAAAGAAAATCACCATTAAAAAAACCAATAAAACCTTCATAGTCAAGTTTGCCTTTACTAAGCCTACTGAAGTACATTCTTTCCCATTCATTTCATGATACATTTTCTAAAGTCATGAAGTAGATTCTCATGAGAAACCTTACAGAAACTCATTAACTAATTAACACTGTTACGGTGCATACAAGACACTGGAATAAGGATGAATGTATTTCAAAGACAATGAATTCTGACTTCAGAACAAAGAAATGGTATAGGAACTGGGGTCTTAAAGAGGCCTCGCCATAAGCGTAGATAGAGGAAGAATAGTGATGTTGCAGGTCAGGTAACAATGGTATCATTATTATTATCACCATCTGGCTTTTCCAGACAGGGTTTCTCTGTGTAGCCCTGGCTGTCCTGGAACTCACTCTGGAGACCAGGCTGGCATTGAACTCAGAGATCTGCCCACCTCTGCCTCCAGTGCTGTGATTACCCACTACAGGCAAACAATGCTCATATTAAGGCTTATACAGGTCTGCACCTTCCAACAAGCCACATATCGTTCTAGGGCAATGGCCAGGTACCTTTTTGTTAACACATCCCTTTATGGAGTTTTTTAAAAAATTCAGTATGTAGCACCACATGGCCTTGAACTCAGAGAAATCTGCCTGCCAGCTTTGGGACTAAAGGCATAAGCCATTCACTTTTGGCAACAGGAATAAAAGAACTAAAATGTGCTCTCCTTGAAATCACATGCAAGTTTAGAGCCAGACAACAGTGAAAAGATCACCTAAGACTAATACTTGTGAACCTGTGATTTAATATTTTAAAAATTTTAATATCGGCCAGGCATTGGTGGTGCACGCCCTTAATCCCAGCACTCGGGAGGCAGAGGCAGTCAGATCTCTGTGAGTTTGAGACCAGTCTGGTCTACAAGATCGAGTGCCAGGATAGGCTCCAAAGCTACACAGGAAAACCCGTCTTGAAAAACAAACAAAAACAAAATAAAAAACTACAACAACAAATTTAAATTATCTTTAAACAGCAGCCCGTTAGGAAGTCTAAGCAGATAGGCTTTGCTTCTGTTTCTAAATAACACAATAACCACTCTTAAAAATAACCAAGTCTCCTGGTCTACAAGAGCTAGTTCCAGGACAGCCTCCAAAGCCGTAGTTAAACCCTGCCTAGGAACACCCCCCCCCAAAAAAAATAACCATGCCCCTTTCCCTGTGAAATGGTGTTTCATTAAAGGCTTAGATAGGGAGGAGACCAGTTGCCCTTGCTTCGGAATCGGTTCCTGGATACAGCTATTCTCCTGTCTTACAAACACCTATCTGGAGTAGTGAGATGACCAGGTAGGTGAAAGTCAAAGGAAAGACGACCGGGAGGCGCCCAGGGACCACAAGCAACCGCCTTTTGAAGAAGCCCTTCCACTGATTTCTAACGCTGCGGCCCTTTAATACCGTCCCTCCTGTGGTGGTGATCCGCGACCATAAAATGATCTTCGTTGCGACTTCACAACAGTGATCTTGCTAGTTGGAAATCGTCATGTAAATATTTCTGGAGATAAACAACTGTCAAAGGGGTCGTGAC